CCAATGCTTCTACTTAGGATCAGAAAGAGGCAGCTCAGCCTTCTTGGATATATAATGAAGAAATGCTTGAATAAGTTGATCCTCAAGGATATATTAAAAGCAAGCAGGTCAGGCGAATGCAGAGAATGACCTGCCTAATTAGCGTTTGACCGGACAGGAATTAAGAGTCATAGTAAACCTTGCTCCTGTGGAAAGATATGTTCGTCCACGTCCCGAAGTGACACCGTACATAGAGGAATTTAACCAAATATATGACACAGAAGAACGATTTTTTTGGTCTGAAATTTCTGGCTATATGCTTTACTAGACGAGCCACGTCGTCTCTTTTTCATAGACTCTATCTATCTGTACTTACAAGAACATTCTGGCAATCAGAAAACCGACTAGTCGAACAAACAAAACGCGAAATAAAATGCAAGAACGTAAAGAAAATTAAAACAAAAACAAACGTTTGGAAAAGTAATTGGTGTCGCTGCGTTGTCTCAGCTGACCTGCTCTAAACTGACCACTGCGGCAGCCATTGCTTTTCATTTTTTCTCCTCCCGCCGATGCGGACTGGTCACTGCTGATAGTAAAGGCTGACTTTCTGATCTCAGCTCGCCCAGGAAGCGTCTACTTAAGGGAACGATCAAAAAGTCGCAAATCGGATAAATGGACACTAATATCTATGGGGAGAGGACGAACGATTGAATTAGGCAAAAATAATAAATACATACATATTAGGTTGGTCGTAAAGTTAGCAGTTATTTTGCACATTGTCACATAACGTTTAGGTTATTTACGATCATGGCTCTCCACAATTTCCCATCATATTTTAGTTCCGGTAGATTTTGTTTAACTGCATATCAACATCTATGGATTATTTAATGCCCAAATCTAAATATTTTGAACGCGTTTTAATGCCTTTAACTACGGATAAAACATATTGTTGCTAATTACTATAAAATGTATTACTGGCCATTTTGCTTTAAAAATAAGCATTATTTTATTATAAACAGGTATTTCTGTTAAAGTTTTTTAATATAAGTATTAATTGCTGGTATTTTTACTATAAAAATGTATTTTTATACTTCCATCGTGTTTTATTTTTGCTTGGGTGTTCACTATGAGCCTAAAGCTGGTACCCTAACAGGTGCTACTAACCCTGTTCAGGATGCAACAATTAAGAGGTAGTGCCATGATCCTCAAAACCTCCAACCTCCCAGGTGTTGTCCTATCATATTCTTAAAGTTCTCACCAGTATTTGTCCAGTTATTACCCTTTATAATCCCTGATCTGCTATCCATTTGCACAAGTATATAAAACAGATTACTTACTGTTCCCCCTTGTATGTGTTAAATTCTCCAAGCCGTCTTTTCTCACGTGTCCCAGAAGTTTTCTATTTTCTTCCAAATTTTGTCGTATAACTCTTTATTATTCCCTATCATTCTCTTGCTTAAATTTCCTGTTCATCTGTGGGAATATTGCCCAACATTCCTTGTTATATATTTGAGGATGGATATTACATTGCAGTTCAACAGTCTTTTCCTTGTTTCTAACTATAATTTCCTGTTTCTTCATAATTTATTTTCGCTATTGCAACTCGCCATAGAGTTTTTGTTTTATATTTTCTATTGTTTCTTATAACATTTCCCATAAAGTTCACCAAGCGGATCCTGAATTTTCGCCTTTCAGATGAGCGGGTGTTTTCTCAGAGTGATCCCGATCCTTGTGGGCCTATTGCGAATTAAGTTCAACCCAAGTCTCAAGTGAAACTCGTATATAAAGATAGTGAGAAAATGGTCTGTCCCCTCTACCGATCCATTAAATACCCGAGGCAACCTGTTACCTTCGACCTTTACAAAAACCCCATATCAGATCGAAAATGGAGGACTTCACTCTTTAATTAGATGCCCTCTCAATAAGGAAGCCTAGGAATGTCGCACATTCTGCCCCCGCCCCACTTCTGAATGTTACTGGGTTTAAGATACCAGTATATCTCGAGAAAATGGAAACAGAAAAAAATATATCCACTGAAGATGTCCCAAAAAGCTGAAAGTACTTGGAGTAATTACATAAGGAAATTCATCTCTAATCTTGAACCACCTGTAATTGTAGGAAAACAAGAAAACTTAACATCTGTCTATATTTCTGTGATAAGATATGGTAACTATTTATGCTATTGACATTGTTTGGACTGTTGTCTTCATCTTTATTGCCATATGCACAATGTTTCGGCCATTGTATACTCTGGACTTCATCAGGTGATATTTTCCAAGAACACATGGTCCAGTTGATAAAAGCGTTGATTGACTACTTCAACTGTGACTTGGCCCAAAAAGTTCTGAATTCAGTATCTGGCCACACCAGAGGGAACAAAATCTTGGTAATCTAGGGTAATTAACTGCAACTGAGATATCCAAAGGTTAATTGTGGAATTAAAACAATCTACTCCCGTGGACTAAATAAAGGGTTGTTTGAAATTCCAAGAAATATCACCTGAAGAAGGTCAGATTGTACGGCGGCTGAAACATTGTAAATATGGTAATAAAGATGAGGAAGCTACCCAGACTTTACTTTCCGGTCTCGATAGAGTCCAAAATCAAATCAGTCTCCTCATGGGTGATGAATTATTTTCCACCTTACAACCTCTTTCCCGGTGACGAAACTTTGCACGATTCTATCTACTTTGTTACTATTTCCATGAACATTGATCGAACAAACTACATTCCTTAGTTCCGTCAATAACAATTACCATTATGACCCGCCATTACCCGCACATTGTAGCGAACAACCCTCATTGTATAGGTATGAATGTAAGTTCTTCTCAAACAGTCTCTTCCCACAAAATACTACTTTGTGTAACTGTTGTGGTAGGATCCACCTAATTTGCAGAGTGGAGTACCGACCATATAAATATGGTTGGTACCGGGAAGAAAGGGGAAGGAATCAAGAGATTCAATCCAGAGACTCTGCCCGACTGCGATTCAGTCAACACATTCTCCAGGAACGGTCTTCCCAAGCATATACAAAAGACTATATGTAAATATTGTGTACACTTTCTTGTTTCAATACATTTTGTTATAAGTACATTTTGTGCTGCATTATTATTCCATGCATTAGTCAAGTTTCAACAGTAACCGATTTCAAAGAGGATGCTACAATCTTAACCTGTTTAAGTCCTGGGTTAACTTTTATCTTCCCCCACATAAAATGTCTCTTACCTTTTACTCTGTCACTCTCTGCCTCGCGTGGTTTTTTGGTCTTGTACAGTATGACTATTATTATAAAAAAACAAAAAAACAAGTTGAATTTCCGTACTGGCTTGATTTAACAAGTCTTATCGAAAAGGTGATAAGTGAATTTTATTTTAGTGAAAATATTGACGGATTATAAACTAAACAATCGACATTCTGAATTCTTCACGATGAATCAATGACATTTGCATCGATATCCAGGCAGCGGGTTATTGAAGTGTAATGATTACATTTGCTTAGATGTAAAATGATGCCTGGAATGATTTGTAGAATTTAAAAGAAAATAAGTCAGAGATTGGAATGACAAATCCGATTTAGAAGAATTCCATCTCTTGAACACTGATGAATGAAAAAAACATATAAAGGAAAATGCAGCGAACATAAGGCGTGGATTTGCTGAAAATTAGAGTTGAATTCATCATTGAAATTGAATAACCTATTGAAAAAGATGTCGTTTATGTGTGGAAAATATAAAAACTGCGATTTGTTTTTCTTTTAAAAAGGCCCGAGGATCCTCATTTGGAAAACCGTTTTCTCCAACAATTCTAAAACTTATCTACAAAATTAAAATATTTTCGATTTAAAAAGTAGTCGTTACTTAACGGATGCAATTAAATATAAAAAAAAAATCCAAAGAATTGATTAATATTGCTATAAGCGTATACGAATCAAAGATCTTTGTTAAACCAATGCTAGAAACAATTTGTATCAAGTAAATACACTGTGATAAAAATCTCATTAAAGATGAAATCTAAAGTGTGGCACTTGAAATTCACACTTCAAAAATGGCTAAAAAGTTTCAAATCGAAGCACATAAAAAAACATCATTGCAATTAAATTTACCAAAATAAAACTTTGATAAAATTTAAATTTATTTTATGTATAATTAGAGAGATCCACAAATATAAAAACACAATTAATAATAAGTTACGTTTGCTGTTTTTCAACAGAAATTACATTCTCAAGCATTTTCGAATTCGCACAATGAATATATATATATATATATATATATAAATTATGTGTGTTATTGAATTACGTCATTGCATAACCACATTTTAACATATATTTGTCACTATGGAAATAAAAAAGGGCTATATAAAATATATTACCTATTTATATAGCATTTATTAATCAGTTAAAGTTCACCATAAAATCCAACACAGATTATATAAATTAAAATTTCAAAAATCTCATGAAAAAATAATATATATTTTAATCAATGTCCCCTAGGCAAGGGAGTACGGCCACTAATACGGAAGGGATTACAGAGTGTGGAGGAATTAGCAACAGAAACATTAGTAATGATTAGAAAGAGAAAAGAGCATTTAGGAGGACAGTGATCGCGATTGTCATTGCATTTAATTTTCTTGCACATTAAAATTGGCTGGAAAGCATGGAGACGGAAGTTACGGCATCTGTCTCCCCAGCTCAAATGTAAATTGTTGTGAACTCACCGTGAATTAAAAAATATGCAAAAAAAATATGGTATTAGGTCTAATTTATAAAGAATAAAATAAAAAAGTAAGCTTAAAAAAAATATTAAATAATGTATTAATCCTCCCGCTGCGTTGGACGTACTTATACGTCCACGTGAAATTGAAATTGCCTGCTACTGACATCGTGAAATTTAAGTGACTAACGTTTGTAAGATTACGTCAACATAATGGGGAAACACCGGTTCCCGTACGATTACCGAGGTTAAGCAGTGTTGAGCCTGGTCAGTAGCTAAATAAGTGACTGTTTAGGAATACTAGGTGATGTAGGCTTGAATGTGCGGACGGTGTATTGGATAATGGCTCGGAATTTTTAATCGGAGAGCCGAGTTCCAATTACTGTTGGGTTCGTTATAGTCACTTACGTCCAAATACCCTTTGAAAATATATATATATCTTCCCCGTCAACTATGGGCTAATTTGTAAAAATTTTTATCCCTAAACCATTATTATCTTCCCCCAAAATTCATACATTCTAAAAATATTTTCTGGCTTTAAATAACCTGCAAAGAGTTGATAAACCGCAGAAAACGAATCAATCAGTGACTAGTGCTAGTCTGATAAATGAAACGGCGCTTCGTGCTATTTCCAAATAAGAGGCGACGTACGATAGCGTAATATAAAATCAGATTTGTGACGTGTTTTTATTACATTGTTTATTCAGAAGCAGAAAAGAAATTTCGTTACAAAGAAAAGAGTACTGAACTGTCACGTAACATCACTCTTCCTATATGGCAGTGAATACTAGAAAATCTCCGCAGAAAGACGAGACTTGAAGCAACAAAAATGTGCTTCTACAGAAAGATGCTGAGAACACTATGAACCGAACATGTGAGTAACGACGAGGTTTTATAGAAAATGGAAAAAAATAGAAAACTTATACTTAACATCAAGAAGATTTAGTTGACATTTCTGAGGCATATAAGAAGGGAAAAGGACTAAGAAAACCTTATAAACATAAGCTATATTAGAGGAAAACAACGGATGGAATTTCGTGAGTTTAAGTAAATAGATGGCGGAACAAGATTTAGAAAGACATAGCAACATTTATTAAGATTTACGAAGAACAGGAAGTTGTGGTTTATATATCTATATGTCTGACTGCTCGTAAACATGCATAGTAGGTTGTCTAGATAACCATACACAAAGCCCTTCGTAAATTGTACTTGTCAGTACAATTTTTGTATTTCTTTAAGGCATAGGCTGCCAGGAATTATTTCAATGAGTCTATTAGAATATTTTCCAACCAGTCCGAAGCCTTCAACTACAAATTGGGATTGTTGATGTTCCCATGTGCCAGATTTTGAGATTTCGATTTCAAGGTTCTTGTATTTTGACAGCTTTTTGAATATCTTCAAAGTACGATTGCAGTCTGCAGGGACTGCTACATCAGTAAGGAGGCACGTTTTTTTGCCGTCTCTAATAGCAATGTCTGGGCGGTTAGCTTTGATTGTTCTGTGGGTATTGTGTAGTGCCATAAAATTGTAACATGTCCTATCTCCGTAACCGGGTCTGGGTGGTGTTCATACCAGTTTTCTTTCAGTTTCCTTCCCATAGAAGTTGCAGATTTCCCAGTGAAAACTATTGGCCCACTCAGTCAACCCGGGTTTTATAATCAGTGGGTGTCAATACCATGCAACCTGATACAAGATATTCATTTCTTTCTGTATATTTATCACAGAATCTGCATTTGGGGCTAAAACAATATTTTAGTATGTGTGCTTGGTAATTTCTAGTTAGCAAGCATTGGTCCTGTGCAGCAAGGATAAAACCTTCAGTTTCAGCCTTTAACCCTACACATGGTAACCACTGATGTGTACGGTGTTTGTCTACATCAGCTTGTTTGGTACAAGCAGAGTATTGACTATGAAGCGGTTTCTCTTGCCATTGTTTCGGTAACTGGTCGGATGCATTTGTTTTTGTTTCTTTTTTTTAACTATTTTGCAGCTTCACTTGGTGTATTGTGCTTTACTTGTATTTCTGAAACGATGTTATTATTATTATTATTATTATTATTATTATTATTGTTATTATTATCATATGCATTATTAATTATTATTCTAATTATTATTTCTATATATTACTAATGCATTTGATAATTTTTTGTGTGTATGATCCTTTTTGTGTTCATACATACGTTTTTGTTTGTTATATAACTTCTGCAAGTTTCCCCAATGTATTGATAAGAGAAGTCGTGAGAGTTTATTTTATATATACCTGTTTAAGAATGATTATTGATATGGTATATTTTTATAATCATAATAGTGTGGCTGTCATTATTTTATATTGTTAAGATTGGATATTTGTTTTGGATGGTGGATGATATGGAGTTAATACATTGTATTCATATGTCTATTTTTTTATCTAGTTTATTGGTATTGTTATTGTTGTTATTGTTGATGTTTTTTAGGTTTTATATTTTGTATGCCTTTCTCTTAGCTTTGTGGATGAAAAAATGAGGATATTGGAGGTTGTTGGGAATGTTTTACATGCATCTTTCTTCTTCAGGCTGCAGATTCTCATGGAATTAGGGATACTCACACCAGAAAATACCCCTTCACCAGATAGATAGATAGATAGATAGATAGATAGATAGATAGATAATGAAGAGACTGTGATAGATAGATAGATAGATAGATAGATAGATAGATAGATAGATAGATAATGAAGAGACTGGGATAGATAGATAGATAGATAGATAGATAGATAGATAGATAGATAGATAGATAGATAGATAGATAGATAGATAGATAATGAAGAGACAGGGATAGATAGAGTGATAGATATCTGCTGTTTGTTTACGTTCCATGTCGCTTTCCTTGTGTTCAACGTTCCTTTCCGCCTTATACTGAGAAGAGACCTGACTCCATTTCACTCGCTGTTTATTCACACTTCAGCGGCCAACGAGGCAAGTAATTACAACAAAATTGCAATTCAACGAGGCGACCCGATGGATAAAATGAGCGACTTCGACCAGGCACGCAACTCCAAAGACTAATGTCGCCACGTGTCGTTTCTCAGTGGACAATGGTCAAGGGAGGAAACACAGGCGACAAGAATACCATGTTGGTAAATAGATACGCAGTCATTCAGACACACACGCCCGTAGACACACAGATATACACACGTGTGTGCACATATTCATATACGCAAACATTTACAGAAAGAGACAAACCGGAATAGACAGGTACGTACATGGACACACACATCTTCATATATATATATATATATATATATATATATATATATATATATATATATATATATATAAAATGGACAAAGTCCAACAATTATTTAAAAGGCATTTTTATGTTTAACATTCTTTTTTAATAGATACAAATATTTAAGTAAATGTTATGTTTATAATAAACAGTATCGGCCACAAATTTAAATAATTTGAAAATTTCTCGTGCATTCAGGCCGGTAAATGTTATTTAATACTGTTTATTATAAACAGAGCATTTACTTAAATACTTGTATCTATAAAAAGAATGTTAAACATAAAAATGTCTTTAAATAATTGTCGGACTTTGTCCATTTCATAATGTGTGACGTCATTTGTTTACATTTGATACGCCATGAGCAGTGATGAATGTACGTGAGAGATTCATGGAAAATTGAAGTTTATAAGCAGTAAATTCGACCTTGCCAACCAAACGATCCTTTGTGGCCGAGCGTAATGCACGTCAGTCCATACGACGGTTCCGTATAGGATACAGGTTCGAATCCTTTCGAAGGACGAATATTTTCTATTAAAATTTCTCGGACATTCAGGCCAGTAAATGTTATTTAATACTGTTTATTATAAACAGAGCATTTACTTGAATACTTGTATCTATAAAAAGGGTGTTAAACATAAAAATGTCTTTACATATATATATATATATATCGCGCATTTCTCTCATTCTTTAACATCAATATACGGAAGGTTATTTGAGAGTATGAACGGATTTTGTTAAAAATTAGCAGACATAATACCTGTAATTTCTGCAATCAGACATACGAAAAAGAGAATTTGCCGCTTAAATACAAAGTTTTGATATATATATATTGGGGAAATTGTATGACAGTGAAAAAAGTTTACCTATGACGCTTTTCTTCCTTCAGAACTTAAATGTTGTTATGATGGTAAGACTACACATGCGCACGACAGATGAGTGCTGGGAATTTTAAATTTTATTTATTTATATAGCCAAATTCATTTTACTTTCTCTTTCTATGACTTTTGCAAGTAGGTATTCCACACTGTGATATTAGAAGATCTTCCAGGAATGGAGAAATGTTGTAAGAAGCATGACGTATAATTACTATCGATGACCTTGCGATTAAAGCACTCTCTGGATATTTACGTCATAGTGAATTATTTCTCCTTTGATCAGAGTAGCTTTTTATGTGAAAGTTGTGGCCAGTCTCGTTACGGTGAGCAACCAACGCATTTGATGTATTATTTTGTAAAATGTCCCTTCTGTGTTCATAGAATCATTTGTTTAGATTCTTTGAGGTTTCTCCAATTGACTTTGTCATATAATTTCCCCAATACTATTCTTGATATAGAAAAATATATATCGTTATCTCATATATATATATATATATATATACTTTAGTATATCAAGATATTTTTGTGTAGTAAATATATATATATATATATATATATATATATAGTAAATATATCTGTTAAAATGCGATGTCAGTGTTATTTTTATTTTTAATTTAATTTAATTTATTTTTTAATTAAATTTGATTTATTTTAATTAAATTTAATTTATTTTTTAATTGAATTAATTTTGTTTAATGTATTTACTTTAATTTAATTATAGTAAATTTATTCAAAATTCGTCATTAGCTTCAACCACGGCCTCCAGACGACTTCTGAATCTCCTGCGTCTCTTCTAGTGAATGTTGTGATAATCTTTGCCTTCAGTTCATTTTTGGTGTTATAAGGAGTTTTGTTGGTCTCCCGCTATGCTGGGCCTCTCACATAATAATCTAGGGTTTGCTGTCCGGGGAGTTAGGTAGCCAGAAATTGCCTGAGAGCCATGACTGATTTCTCCTGTTTTAAGAAATAGTGTCTTCCAGTTGTCACACTCTTTACCCAGAGAAGCACTACGTCTTGATGACACTATTGAATCTGATGACCTGTGGGAAGATGAATGAATGTATAACGTCACCATCACTAGTGATCACTTCAAATATCTTCATAATCACCATCAGTTTCATCCAAATATTTGCAAATCTTCTGCACTGTCCTCAGATTTACACCCAAACACATTG